CTCGACCACCTTGCCGGGGATGGTGGGAAGAGATGTGGCTAGTGATATTGCTGCTGTCTTAGCTGTGGGTAGTGCTGCATGGTGCGACCACAGGCTTAGAGGGTCCCAATTCAGGGTGCTAGCCATTGAGAATAAGGGCAGCGAGTGGGTCGTGTCTGCTGCGGATGACAATGAGGCTGGGAGGCTGTGCCCCACCTCACTGGTCACTGCTGAGCTGACCTTGGATGAGCTTGCATCTGCACGAAGGTAGGCAGAGAATTGGGAGGAGAAAAGAAGAGGACAGGGGGAGAGGAAGGGATCAAGTGAGAGAGGAGAGAGTAGAGGGGGAAGAGAAGGTAAAAGTAAGAATACAGAAGGAGAGGGAAGATGAGGCCCTGGACCCACCTGCTGTGGGTGGCCAATAGCATATAGCCTGCTCAGAAATGCATTTTTTGCAAGTCCCCCCCTGCAGGGGAGGTGGGAAGGTGTCTGTGGTATAAAGCTTACACAATAATAAAGGTGTGAAAATGTAATTGGCCTATAAGCAACACAATTGTATCAATGTAATTTATGCAATGCTGGAGCAATCAATGCAATGGAAGGCAGATGAGCCAGCAATATCAAAACTACATACCTGATAGGGGTGGAATGGCTGGGAGAGAATGAGCTGTAGAGCCGGGCGGCCGTGAACCATCAGACGAGGGAGGCAGTGGTGGCCCGCCAGCTCCAGGGGGACGGGAGGCGAGACGGAGAGCTTGATCAATTCCTCTCTCTATCCCAGACTCTACAGCAGCGTTCAAAACCCGAATGAGGGCTTCTGGTCCTGAGAGAGCCTCGGAGCTCGTGCTGCTGGTAGTGATCGGCCGTGAGGAATGGCTGGAGACTGGAGTACTAGTGGAAGAAGATCCAGTAGCTGAGCCAGCACTGCCCACGCCAACTGCCGTGGAAGAGATCACGGTTGTCGACGTCCCAGCACCAGTACTGCTACTAGTAGTCCCATGAACAGATGCCATCCTCAGAACAGAAAGAACAGAAAGACTTGCTAGAAGGCTCAGAGACAGAAGACTGCACATAAGACTGCAAGACTGGCTTGAAATGCTTTAGCTCAAATGACTGCAAACACGCTGTCTACCGTGGCCTTGACCGAGGCTTAAATAGGCTGAGTAGGTGTGGTTAACCCCGCTTAAAGCTCCGCCCTAACCAGCAATGAAAAGTTAATAAACCGTAGATAGATAACGTAGTCAAGTTAGTAATAAATCTAAGGGGTTAAAATATTATGTATAACCATTAATAACCGGAACTTTTACAGTCATGTGTGATGGGAGGGTTCCGAACTTTTCCTATCTATTGTGACGAGAAAAGTGTACGAACCGGGTGGTTAGACAGAAGACAATAACTTATTCAACCACTCAATAGAGATCCATAATGTGGAGGTCGCCCACTATGTTTCGTTTGGAAATATGATTGCATCTTTCTGTAACAATAGATTTACTGATTAGTTTGAGAGGTTTGTTTTGTACCCTTAACATAAAAACCAAAGGGTCTGTGACATTAAATATCACACCATCGTATTGCTTAGAACACACCGGAGGTCGCCGACACCATTTCTATTCAATAGGTTGTACAAATCAAAATATAGAACTAAATATAGTAAATGTGATCAATAATGATTGCTAATTCATAAAACACTGAATTTAAACTGCAAACAGATACATTGCTACAGCAGACAGCTTGGGCAAACAGGAAGAGTGTCTCTCAACATTATTGAAGGGTTACCTGTACAAAAAAGACTTTATGCAACAAAAAACCACCTGAGAAGTTTGCTTACCTTTTTCAACTTTCAGCCATTTTAATTTTACATACGAGTAATTAGAAAAATTATTTACGGTACTATCAACTAGCATTTTCCTGTTGCTACGGCCCGTTTCCAATCCCTATGTACTCTATTACCTTGAGGAGACAATTATTAGCGTGTACTTATTTTAGCGATTTTCATGAAACTAACATTTGGCTGATACTTAATTTAGCGTTTTTGATCATTTGATATTAATAACTTTTAGAAGAATGAAAGGGGCAAGCCTAAGCACATAGGCGTAGGAATGATTCAAAAGTTGGGCTCAACATTCAAAAGCATGACTTAGCATGTGAACATGGGGGGGCTAAGCCCTACTTGCTGAAAAGTTGGGGGGCTTNAGCCCCCCCAGGCCCCCCCCCCCCATTCCTACGCCTATGAAGCAAGCTACAGATTATGTGCTGTGATCTACATGTATGAGCAAGCAAAGCAATTGCACAAGTCTAAATACACTAATACAGTAGATCTTGTTGCATTAATCTTGCTTAAATTGCTTCATCACTGACTCTGCAGCCATTAACATGTAAAGTAGTCTTGCTTACAGTTAGAAACAGTCACGGAACGAAGAAGACTGTCATCTGCTTTGTTAACCTAGGCTAACTGCTAGAGAAGTCTTTGGACAGCAGTTTAGTATTATCTTGCTGATCCTTTGCTCAGTTTGCTGCAAATAAGCTCAGGCTTGCTGACGGCCGCCATTTTATTCATTGTGACCACACCCACTTTAAATGAAGAAATTAAAATTAGCGCGGACTTAAGTTAGCGATTTTTTAAAAATCGCTAAAATTCGCTAAATTAAATACCCGCAAACAATTGTCTCCTTAAGGTATCTATGGACTAGTTAATCATATTCATGCTAATCACGTGGGCATAAATTAAAATGGCATCAAACCACAAACCCACACGGTGCTGCAGCTGGAATTTGTCTTCCATTGTTCTCTGTCTTTGCTTCTTTTTGAAGCCACATGTCCAGTCCTTGACTCAAGCACAAAGGAATGATGTAAAAGCCAACTCAAGCGGTTCCCTGGCTTAAAAGATTTCTGTGTTGATAGAAGAAGATGAAAGAAGAAGAAAAAGTCTGAAGAATTTTGCCAGAAATTTGAATTTGGGCCTATTCTCCAGAAATGATCCCACTACATTACAGTCCACTTTAAAGGTACCAGGAGAATCGCTCAGTGAAGGAGAGCTCATCTAAGCCATTTATAAGGCTGTGTAACGTAAGATAAAAGAGTTATAAGTGTTTGAAAATCACAAAAACGGCCGCCATCTTGAAAAATCAACCTCAATCCTACATATAGGCTACCGCCTATATAATAATATATTTTCTATATTTATTTCTTCAAGTGGACTTGTTGAATGTTGCAACTGCTACCAATACTAGATCACAAAGTGGGGGTCTGTTGCTGGAAACACTACTTGATGATGGTGGCCGATAATCATTGGTAGTCAGTGCCATCTAGTCCTTGTTCCTGGGCTTGTTTCCTGTGAAGCAGTGAGGGCTATACCCTTGCCACTATCACTTATAGCCTGCCTGGCAGCATCATTGACTGTTTCTGTTAGGCTGTTGGACAGATTTTCAGAATATTTAAAATAGATATTAGATTATGTAAAATTATTACTTCAAGGCAATTATACCATTTCTCTTCTTGCCATGCTTTCTACATGTGCTTGTAGGCTAACTCTCTCGCATTGCTATTTTGAATGTTTTCATGATGCATTGTGCTAGTGATTGAGCCATGATAAGTAGGGGGCCATTTTTTATTTTCAAATCTTATAAAATCCGGTTGCCAGGGCACCTCCTTTTATACTGTGATTGATGGAAGATGATCTTTTAATAGTTTTATAGTGCACCTTTTTGTTTAACTTAAATCTGACAATTGGTTTACACAGCACTTCTAGGACCTTACCATTCAAGTGTAAATCAGTTTTAAGCCTAGTGATGCCAAGACTATCCACACAGTCATATAAAAAAGAACTAGATGAAAAAAGGAAGCAAGTAATTAAAAAGAAACATTAAATACAATTCGTCAGCAAAATAAGGGAAAACTTGCAAATCTATTTGGCTAGATATCCTACAGCATTGCATGAAGAATATTGTCAAAAGAACCATGGCTTTATTATTATTTTTTCTAACATAATATTTTGTGTGGCCATTTTTTCACCTGTGCTTTAAATTTTATTGTTGTAAATTTACTCTTCTCTCCATAGCTAAACTTCTGCTACTGCATATTAATATGGCACACTTGCCAAAACAGCGAAAAAACAAACGAACTCATATTGGTAAGAAAATGAAAGGAACTGCACTCCCATTTATTATTGATGTCTTTATGTGTAGGTGATGATGATGATGATTATGGTGATGGTGATGGTGATAATGTAGATTCACAGATGGAATCGGAAAATGGATTGGTAATTTATTACATAAGTACTTAGAATTGTGCCTGTAACAGTACTTTTATGTT